GGTGAGTTTACTGTTGTCGTACCCTACTGTATATATATCTTCTATGGTAATATAATTAATATCTCATTCATCATTTAGAGGGTACCGAACTGTATGTTTCAAGATGTATTGGTAAACTGTGGAAGGCCAAGATGTTAGGTTTTCAATAGGGTTATATATATATGTGTGTATTAGAAGCTGACGTACCGAACTTATTTTCAAAAGGACGTATGCTTTACCGTCTCTGCTCGGTTTTTTTTTTTTTTTTTTTGAGATTTAATGAGTATAGTTTGCACGAACTTTGGTGGACATTATAATTCAAGGCGGGAACAATTGTGGCGACTGGAAGGAAGAAAATTAGGGTGTTTCCTGGCCTTCCTTTCTATTTTCTTTTTTTTCTTTTTTGTCAGCTACACATCAGCCCTTCGAGAACAGAGCAAAAAGCGCCTTTACACAGCACCAAAAAAACGCAATGATAGTAAAGACATGTTAAACTGAATATAGCGATGACTTTTGAAATCTTTTTCACGCAAAAAAATATTAACGGTAAAACATATAGATAACATGGAGACAAACTGATTAACTTTAAGAACCTTAGAGACCCAAGATCGATGAACAAAAAAGGGACCTCTGTGTGTAGCTCCTCATTTTTCTTCTTCCTGGGTTTAGGGTTTTCAAGGTGTTTATAATACGCAATAATATTTATAGTGAGAAGATTTACCCCGTGTGTAATTTGTTCGCTCTCACACGGAACCATTTAACGACAACAAGTGAATACAACGCCAGCTACAAGATAAGTTCGGTGGAACTCGTTCGAAGTTGCTCGAGGACGAACTATAGTAATCTCGACGTCGTGGACGCAGTGAAAAACAACGACGCAAAAGTTTAGTCACAAAGAATATACAAACATATTTTTAGTTTATACGTGTATTAGACAATTAGTTTTTTTTTTCTCCTGAATTTAAATATATTACACAATAAAAGATTATAGAGCTAAGTCTTCACCTTAAAGGAGCGGTGCAACGATCTTCAATTGGAATGATTTTCACTTTACACGAGCTTACTGGCACTAGTCAGGCTCAAGGATACTCGCACGCTACGCCACTGGCCACGAAACTCCTTTGTTGCGGTGTAATTTCAAGGAAAAAAGCGCTCATTTTCAATCAATCTCTTCTTTTCAAAATTTGATGACGTAAAGTGGGGATCGCAGTACACCCATGTGACGATATTTGAATGCGGTTCATAGATTGGACCCGAGCATTGCGTTGGCACTCGATTTGGGCTTGTGATTATTACTATAGTTCAAGAAGCATTCGGGTAGTGCCCCCGTCCAATCGATCGCTGCAACGACGACAATAGCCGAGCCACAACCATGTCTGGAACTCAGCGCGTGTCCTGCGCTTTGCCAACCCCAGCACGTGGCTATATAATCAACATTGGCGGCATATAATCGGCTCCAGATCGCGTGGCCGCTTGTTCTGGCTGCGAGTTGAGGGGGTGAACGCTGCTCGTTTTTCTTTAATTTGTTTCTGGGACTTCTTTTACGTGGGGTGAATAACGAACGCTTATTTTATATGTCATTAACGTCAGGGATCCGTTCTAAGCGGTATTTGCGCAAAGTACAAAAATTGTTGCATCGCCCCTTTAAAATAATCATAAGATCCAAGAGTCACTCAGGTTCCTATGACGTTTCTATCCATATATTTGTCATCCATTGTTAATCGAAAGAGATGAATGTTATTTTTTTCTGTGATGTCTTTTTTTTTTTTTTTTGCTTTCTTGATAGTCAAGTTTATTAATGCTTGTGTCTATTTTTTTACATTCAAATATTTTTGCCTGTCTCGTTTTCCTGCGATAATGCTTTCTGAACGCCGCAGGCTACGTTTAATAAATACATAACCAAATATTTGTTAAATCTGCCGGAACAGGCGCCTTTTCGCTTCAGGTTTTTCGCCAAATCCTAAGAAAACCTCAAGAAGACAGTGCCCACGGAAGCATTTAATACCATCCACAGTGCGATCGGCCTACTATTACAGCTGAATATCACGAAAAACATTTTGAACATCTAAACCACAATTTATTCTTTAGAATAAATTGTGGTTTAGATATTTGTGGTTTGGATTGGACGAAACCGGTTCAGTCCAATCCAAACCACGACCGTACAAACCAAAGACGGCTCCATACACAAGGGCAATATTCTAACGCATTTCCAAAGGTATAGGATATGACGCATCCACAGTGCGTGATTGGTCCAGAAGGTACGCACGAAGACGACGAGCGCCATGACGATGGCCTTTTGGCGCAACTTGACTGGCTCCGTTAGCTCGTAGCGTGAGCTACGGTCCGACTTAAAACGACGCATCGCTCCTCGTCCCGATGGGAGCGGAAGTTCCGACAATGGCGGACAGAGGGGTTTGGGCCGCCGGTGGTGCGCCGCGAAGCGCCGCGTACGGGTGGCCCAAGTGGGTTAATACTTTTAAGGAACCATCCGTAGACTGTTGCCACGAAGCGGTGTAAAGGGGGGGTGGGTGGGTTGACACTCGACCCAGTGATGCACCCGCTGTCCCCCGTTGCGCCTCCAAAAAGTCCGATCCCACGTGACTTGCTGGTTTGTAGGATAGATGTATGTATGCGTGTATGGCGGCTGTTTCCCACGAATCTACCTAGACAAAAAGTATGCTGAGCTCAAGATTAAATAGCGTCTGCATGGACGCTGCGCCACGCCTGTATAGCCGCGAACTCACGGCGTTTAAGGCGTTGTATCTGCGTTTTCTAAGCTCTTTCTAATGCGAAGTTTTTTCGCGCTACCTGCACAGCGAGATCAACTTAAGCGGCTGTGCAATTAGTGGTACAGAAGCATTAACTCTGCGTTTCTCTCGAGCCTTCCTCTATAATTGGCCGCGAGGCCGCCTGCTTGAACCCGGTAGCAAAGCCGCAGTGACACTGAATATACACAGTGGGAGCGGATCCAAGGGGGGGGCGGTGGGGGCGATCGCACCCCCCCCCCAAACGCTTCGCCAGGCCCCCCCCCCCCCCCCCCCCCCCCCCCCGGGGTTCTTCGTCAGCTCGAAGAAAAAACGTAAGCAATCGACGCAGGATGCAGCTTGTACAACCAGGTGACCAATTGCTTTTCTTCTCAACTGAGAGAGGAAGCAAATGCTCTGGGTACAGTGTAGTCTGGGTCTGAGCTTCTCCTGAAGACGCTCCGGACTTCCCCACGACCTTGTCTTTAACATAAGCCCGCTTTCGTCCTCGCCTCCATCCCTCACTGAGGATCAGCGCCGCAGCGCGGAATACAGAAAGAAGCCGACGAGCGCCAGAAGGGGGAGATGTTTCCTCTAATGGGCTTCATACTGCCTGCGGTACGACTTCTCATGGCGGGAAGCTAATAAAAGAAAGATAAACGGTAGGAGCACCCTAAAGGCTGGAGGCTGCTTACACGGGGTCCTCAAGCCGACGCCGTAGGCATTTATTCGTATACAATGCCGTTTCAACTTAGGGTGGCGGGACATATTTTAGGAAAGGCGCCCACTACCCCTTATCTCCCCTTGGCGCCGTCTTTACTTTTCGAGTTAAACGCGGCTTCTGTGGATTGACGGCAGAGCTTTCGCGCGGCTTTGCAGGAGCGAATATGTGTGTATCGAACGGAACAGAGGCGGGGCTTGCTGGTTTCCAACTGCGGCTTCGAATTCCCTACCTAGGGACTTGGGCAAAACTAGCCCTTTCAAAGATGCGACTATACATAAATTAAATAGACAGTGCCTGTGCCCGTTCGAGTGAACACCGACTCCCAAACATCCATGCTGCAGTCGTGATCGGCCTTTAGTCGAGTTGAGATTCGCCGACCGGACAACCGTTCTGCCTTATCATATCTCTGCACCTGTCCTCTCGACCCCTGACGAATGAGCTAACTACCCAGAAACAAGTGTTCCTTTCATACAGAAAATATCCAGACGAAGTGCAATTGAATATAATTTGGAAGGATCAATTGCTGGTTCAAGGTCTTGTCTAAGTTTAAAAGTTATAGTTGCCGAACTGCAACATGCTTTCAAAAATATTCAACAATTATTCGCTTTCGTTCTCTCGAGTTGCTTCCAGAACATGTGAATACACGAGTTTGGGTTGGCAATGCCGCATGTGCTGCGCTCTGGACATTCCAAATATACGGCGAACAACCGACGAACTTGCCTGGCAGCTTTCGTTTCGCTCGCTGCGTCAACAGGGTTTTGACGCCGCGAGCAAGTAAGTTGCAAACAAGCGACAAAAATGGCCCGCGGGCCATTTTTGTCGCTTGTTTGCAACGTACTTGCTCCATTGATTTAAGCCGCTCTTCCCGTTGCCGCAGCAGTTGAGCACTAGCTCCAACCAGAATGTCTGCCAAGGCAATGTCTTTAAGCTGCCCTATATCGACTGCTCACGTAGTGTCGGTCTGAAACCCAAGTTTCAGAAAGGATAGTGCCACCACAATTTTCTAGATACTTACCTTTAGCGTGGTCACCCGAAAGGTTTTAATTCAAAGAGTTCATCAACGACAGGTAAACCGATACTAAAGCTCTCAAAATTATGTTATGTTATCAGAGTTTAGTAAAAACGATAACTCCACAAAAAATATAAACACTCCCCTCCCCCCCCCCTCCCCCGCCGTTTTACACCAAGGAACCGCCCCCCCTAAAATGGAGGTCTGGATCCGCCCCTGATTATACATCATACAAAAACAGGGTGTTTGTTGCAGAGAGGATAGGAGAATTACATCCGGAGATACCTATCTTGAAAGCATGCTTGCTTCATACGCATGTATGCTCCGAACTTGTCTGCGGACAGTTTTCGTAGGACATCGTGGCAGGGCCTTCAAACGAGGAAAAAGCACGCCTCAGCCAATGTCTGAAGACTGCCTTTTGTATAGATGTATGAGCAGTGGCACCGCGGCGTAAGTGGCGACATCTCTCGCTTTTGGTCTACACTATTTATGTTTGGGCTGAAGTACCGTTATATTTTGACGTCACAAAATCTGCTAGCCTTCGCGAGTGCTCAGTTCCTAACTACGTGTCTCTTTTTATCAGTGCTACAACGACAATAACCGGAACCTATGCAACAAGACTGTGTCGGTAAGCCTTTTTCTTGTGCAGCCGCCTAGTCATTCCTGAAACATATTTTCTGTGTATCAAAACCGCGGAGCTCTAGCATGTCATGAAACGAGTGCTCGTTAATTGTGCTAAGCTGACCTAGGACTGTGATGTTCTTAATCTTGAAATGGTGCGGAAGGGGTATAAGGGACATCATGAGAATAGACATTTCACATCTGCGTTAACATCAAAGAAAAAAAATCTCTTAAATATTTTGAAACTTATTGAAAATAAACGTAGTATCCCAAGTCCAAAGAAAACACAACGCTAATAAGTGAACAAAAACATTTGTAGTTTTTTTTTTGTCTTTCAATAACTACTTTTGTTCTTCGTGTCGGACTGGCCTGCGAGTTTATGTCTACGACAACAGCTAGAATATTAAGGTGCTTGGAGACAGGTTCATGCTAGTTTTATACATCATGATGTTCAAGAGCATGTTCAAGATTAGAAACAAGATAACCAGCTTGTCAGGAGCTATAGGTAACTCTACGTATCCCTAGCGAAAGTGAAGGTGACCTAAATTCATGCTAAACGCTGCCAATTAAAACACGCAAAAAAAAAAAAAAAAAAACGCCGTGCGTTGCGGATTTTGAGAACACGGTTCCGCAGCCAATGAGATTGTTGCATTTGGCCGATAAGAATGACAAAAACCAATCACGAAGCCAGAAGCGTCGATGCAATCAATCAATCAATCTACGGTAATTGGAAATGCTGTCAGTGACTATAGAAATTATCGAAAATATATCAATACTTTCACAAACTGAGCATCATACAGCTCTACACGATTACATAAAAAAACTGAAATAATTTTGTATTTTGTTTCAATTTTCCAGGACGTGTCTGCAATTTTTATGGTAAGTTTAATACATTTTCTAAGCCACTGGCTGTCCGAGCGCAAAAAAGGTGGTCGCGACACGATAACATATAATTTTTCTTTATACTATCACGTTATCGTTTGTTGCGTTGATTTCCTCCATATGTAATGCCCGAGAGAACCTGTAAGGTAACTAAATTAAAATATTTGGTTGATGGGACACAGGACAGCACAGTATAAGAAACACCGCTGTAAAGCGATTCACTTGACCCCTTTTCAAAGGTACCTCGAGCAACATTGTTGCTCACCATCTCTTGGTCACGAAGCGTGTGATTGGATCCGAGTCTTCGCCGAACGCTGACGATGCACTCGTGTCCAATACACGCTCACTATGTGCCCAAACAATGGCGGACTCGGATAGTTGGAGCAGCGGCTACTAGATGGCCGCACTCACTTTTGAAAAGTCGCACTTTTGAAAAGCCGCATTTTTGAAAAGCCGCACTTTTGAAAAGCCGCACCTTTGGAAAGCCGCACTTTTGAAATTTTATCGCAGAAGTTGGAAAACACTTGGGAGCGACTCCGCACAACCACCGACAGAAGTCTCGCTTTAAAAAATAATGATATATAAAGCTTTCTTTTTGATTTCAGTGCGTCACGACCAAAATCCTTTCTTTGGGCTTCAATGGTTACCAGTTTTACAATATCTACCCTTTAGTAGCAGAAGTATTCGGAAGAAGTGGTCAGAACTGTGAGTATAGTTTTTCGTTATCTCAATACTTTCTATAGTGCAAGTGCAGCTGCCGCAGCCGGCGCCGCCGCCGCCCCTCGAAGGAAATAGATGTAAACACAACCCGCTCTTCGCCGCCGCCACCAAGAGCGAATCCGCTCCCGCGGCAGCGGATTTATTCTCAGGTGTAAACGTACCATAAGGCTCCCGTTTCCGGCTTGAGCGGCGTGACCGCGCGGTGCATTATGAAAAAATTACCCCATTAAAATTAGCGGGAATTTTTTCCGCTAAATTTAGCGGGAAATGTTCCTCTAAATGGGAGGCGAGCAGGAGAGGATGAGGGGCATAGCTTCCTCTCCGTACCTTCCCCTCCTCCTCCTCAAGAGCTGCGCTCTAATTTGGCGTTACAGGGAGTTGTAAACGGCTTTCATTTTTTAACATAGATCGCAGCGATTGCTTTTCCCCGGCGCCTCAAGGAAAATCAGATGCACTTTATTTTTAAACGTTTGTTAGAGTGTAGGTTGATTTCAATGTATGTACCCAGGCAGCATACAGTATTGCGCCAATATTGGCGTCAGATCGTAGAAATCGGGCCACTATCATTTTGACACTGCCGATATTGGCGCTGAATCGTAAATATCGGGCCAGTATTACCGTGATATAGCCGATGTCAGCGGGACATCACTTGGGTCGGCCAACGCCACGCTGATATACAGTGTCCAGCGCCGTTTTCCGGTAATTTGTCGAGTCTGAACCGGCTACATCGGCCGGTATTAGGAATTCTTGACCTTTTCTAAAACAATACTGAATTGCGGTCAATCGCGCCGGCCAATCGCGGCGAGGGCGCGCCGGGCAATCCGCGGCTGGAACTGGGTTTTCCCGTACAAACAAACGGAAAAGAAAACTCTTTTTGTAGTAACTTTTATTGGGGATTAGTGCAAAACGGGGGGGGGGGGGGGGGGGGGGCGTGATGTTTTCTAAAGTCTTTAGTTTACAAAATTTGTTGCACAATTAATATTGTTTTTCTACAACCATGTCACAGAGGTGACTTCAGGTAGCGCGTCCCGACCTAGGCGCATCCTAACTTCGGCAGTAATTTGCGGTGCGTCCGTTTGGGAGTCGGGGGTGGCACCCATGAAGCCCCTTCCACCGTATCTGAGCCAAAATGGCCGATTAAAGCCGAAATAGAAGTCACGTGCAGTTCCTCGAGTGGCCGGTGCGGGAGAAATGGCGGCGTTGCGATCGCTATCAGCTCGATTCTCGAGTACGGATCGGTGCCGCTTTTTCAGAGCAGGTTCTATTGCAGTTTCCTAACTGATCGGTTAATTCTATAGTAACGTTGGCTTGGCCCAAGTCCGCTGACACCGCAGCGGCCGCGGCCATGTTAACCGATATTCGCCCGTCTCTGCCCAGAACTCGAATGATATCGCCGATTCTGGCCCATTTTTAGAACGATCGTTAACCGACATTGGCCCAATACTGGGCCGTGGTGAAAAACACGAAACTGGGCCAATATTGTGAGCAATATTCCCCCGACGCTGGCCCAGTGTCGGCGTGCTGCCTGGGTAGTCGTGAAAACATTGTAAATTTTAATTTAGCATTCGCTCCGCGAACGGCAGATGTCGCCGAGCTTCGGCCTGTTTGCCGTTTGGGGCGAGTCTCGGATCCACCAACGATGACGTCACTCGCAGGCCTTATCATCTAAGTGGTATTAATCGAACACGTTGTTCCCCCGTCCCTCCACACAGTGACTGCGATGGACTTCCTCGCTTCGTACTGTGACGATGCCTCCCACGCCAGCGACGCGTTCTGTCAAGTCGACCCGAGCATCGATGACGCCACCTGCGGCACGCCCATTGTGTTCGATGTGCCCGTACCAGAAGGAAACGATGCGCAGGTAAAGCATTGCCCAATGCTGTACGCGTTTCTCTAAAAGAGAACGTGGTGACTTGGTGCGTGGGTCACGGGGCATTACTTTTCCCGCCACATTTGGCAGGGTAACTAGGTTTCTCGTAAAATGTAGCGGCGAAAGTGAATCCGTGGGTAGGTTTCTTGACGGCAGGCCACGTGACATCAGTTTTTCCGCCAAAGTTGACAGAGAAACTGAATTGGCGCAGGTCACGTAGTTAGGTGACGTGACGCTAGTTTTCCCACTAAATTTAGAGGGGAAACAATATTATTGTAAAGATCGTGTGACCTCAAGTCACGTGACATGAAACTTCCTCGCTAAATATAGCGCGGAAAATGAAATGGTACTAAGTCACGTGATGTCACTTTCCCCGTTAAATTTAGCGGGAAATGTACGAACTGATGAAGGGTTCAAATTCTTTATTTGGGGGAGGGGGGGGGGAGGGTTCGTTAAGAAGCACTTTAATAATACATGTTGATGTCCCCACTGGTTTAGGTTTAAACCTAGCCGCTAGGGGCGTGACGGTTAGATGCTCTTGTGGATAGTAAAAGGGTTACGAATAGAGTTACGGGAGGGAACGTAAACAATGTAGGAAAGCTCTATAGCTCGACTCCTTCGGTAAACGATTTTGCACTAAATCTGCTATACCGTGTACAATTGTGCACATTAATTACACGCAACCTCGTTAATTGAGAGACACCCACCTCAGCATGACGAGTTAAAATAAACTCGAACTTAGTGCAGTGAAAGAACGAGCGTTCTCACGCGCTCGCAAGTCTTGCCCCCTCCCGACAACGTTTGGAGATTCCATTAATGAGCGCTTCAAATGTTTGAACCTATCCTTTCAGTGTGAGCAGAGCGATGCCTGCCAGAGCGTGCTACCGACCGACGTAAGTTCGTTCTTTCTTAATGGCGGAGTTAGGTTCGACATGCGTCCTAAAAAATAGCTCAATCCAAACGGCCCATACGCAATTGTTATGTTATACTTCGTTTCACTCCCAAGTGCAGCCGACCGCTGTAGACCTTTGCAAAAATCACCTTCTGCGAGCTGCCATATTTTTCTGCTGGGCTGTGGAACGCTCTTGATCTGCTGTGCGGTATATCAGACGCTGCGCGTGCGTCCACAGCTCAGTGACTCAGCATTTTTCGCCCAGGTGATAAGAGCTGGAAAGGTCTATAAACCCCTTTAGAAAGTCACGTGCCGATTATTAGATGGTCGGAACCACTGCATGCACAACGTTGGAACAACTGCATCGAGGGACGTGCAAGTCATTCCATAAGATAGCGAACGTCGGAGCGTGGACAACACCATGAACCGACGAGCCAATCAAACAGCGTCGAAAATGCAACGTCACCGCGCTCCTCAGCTTTTTCTTTTTTTTTTTTTTTTCAGTGCGTCGTGACGTTAGGGTTTTAGACCGCCATCGTGCAGGGATCCCACAGCTGCCAACAGAGGGCAGTTTCTCGAAAGGAATCTATAGACCTTTGGAAAAGTCACCGGCAGTTTGATACTTTAGACCTATGTCACGTATTAAAAAAAAAAAAACACGCTTTTCATGTAAGGTTATTCAAATTATGGGGCGCTGGAGAAAACCAGCCTTCTGCGTTAGGTCCTTATTTCGAACTCTTTTTATTCGCGTTCCGCACATTGAAAAGCATGAGGGAAGCGCCTCAGCACTCACCTTGTATCGCTCAGCCGCAGCGTTCTTCCGCAGCATAAAGGCCGTCTGCTTTCATCGCCGTCACCATGGTAACGAACGCCGAGTGACCTTTTCGGACGGCGCGTGTATCACTGGGGAGCGTGTTAACCCAACCCACCGCCTGAGTTCATGCCGCTTCGCGGCAACAGTCTACGGCTACTCCTTACAAAAACTATTCAACTTTGGCAAGCAGACGGCGTTGGGAAAATTTGCGTTCGTTGCCATGGTGACGGCGATGAAAGCAGACGACCTTTATGCAGCGGAAGAACACTGCGACGCAGCGATACGAGGTGCGCACTGAGGCCTTTCCCGCAGACTTTTCAATGGACAAATGGCCTACAAAAAAGAGTTCGAAATAAGGACTTAACGCAGAAGGTTGGTTTTCTCCAGCGCCTCATAATTTGAATAGCCTTACACGAAAAGCATGTTTTTAAAAAAGTGTAAAGATAGTTAATGCGCCAAATAGCTTTCTGCGCGCTGCCATTTTCATCTGCTACGCCACGGAACGCCTTCTGAGCATGCGCTGTTGCTCTGCTGTGCGGTAGATCAGAACCTGCACATGCGTCCACAGCTCAGTGACTCGACATTTTTCGCTCGGGTGATAAGCGATGCAAAGGTCTATTATACCATCCGACAAAGCCAGCAAAGAGCGCTAAAAGTGCACCGTCACGGCGTTCCTTGTTTGTGTAGGTTTGTTAATTATCACGTACTAAACCAATCACGCCAAAAAAGAAAAAAATAGGCCGGTTTGCGGCGCATTTACTAGGCGTCATTGGTTTGGTCGACGATGGCGAACCCCAACAAAATAAGGAGCGCAGTGACGACGCACTTTTGGCGCGGCTTGATTGGCTCCTTCAAGTCCTAGCGTCTGCTGCGGTAGGACTTAAAATAAAACGGAGTATTGGAACTTATTGATAAGGCCTGTGATCGCAGAGCGTAGCGCCACATCGCTCCGTGCGACCCTGCCTTTTCCTGCTGACGCACAAGCTAGCTCGGCGCCGAGGTCGAACAGACAGGAGTACCAGTAAAGCCCGTTTACACACTTGCAACCGAGTACGACCGAGAGAGACGAGACCTGTTCAAACCTCTTAACATTTCACAGGACGAGAGAACACACTGGCACGCTGGCGCCATCTATGCGGTGACCCTGGAACTGCATTTCACAAGAGCGAAGGTTTTGCGGGAGTTCCGAGGTCAAATGTGCGTTATAACTATAAGAAAGGCTCGTTTATAACGTTCACAAAAGTTTTTCGAGCCAAAAAAGAAAGGATAATGCGCGAGAAAAAATAGAAAACATGCTGGACCCTCAAGTTTCCACTGCCACCTAAAAGATGGCGCCAGTGTGTCCTCTCGTCGAAAGAGATGTTAAGAGGTTCCAAGGCACTCGGTTCTAAGAGGTCGCAAATGTGTGAAAGGGACTGTATGCAGCAGCTCTGACACTGCGCTGCCTGAGTGTGTGAACTGGGCTCCATTTGTCACGCGATTCTTTTGAGCAAATAAGAGCCGATTTTTAATCTCAAATAAAAAGACGTTGCACCTGTGCTTATACTGTTTCTGTTATTTTTCTAGCCTAAATTCAGTCGCTTCATTGCCAACGAATTTGTGGTAAGTTTATTTTTTTAAAGGTGTGGTATGTTTCTGGTTTCGTGTTGTTTTTAAAATCTACTTCTCTTTTGATTTTCTTCTTTTCTTTTTTTGCTTCGGACATTTGCATGTTTGCTTGTGCAGCACTGATTAGCCGTATGAAAAATGAACAGATGAATTAGGAGAGATAGCGGGTCAAGTGTATTACATTGTTTCACCACAAGTAAGATCGCTGTCAAAGGCTAGAGAACGTACAAACAGAAAAAAAAGTAAAATTTGGGGATTTTAACGGTTGTACAAGATACACGCATTTTCCAATCAATTGCAACTTTTATGGCACGGCATTCAGATCCTTCGTCTGTATAAATCACGGGAAATAACTCGTGAAATGCAGCAGTGCCGCATTCTGAAATGTTGGGCACAACCAAGTAAACGTTACGTGCGGCCTAATAGCTAATATACTTTAAGATTTTTTTTTTGTATATTACATTAAGTAAAAGGTCATAAAAAAAATCATTCGACTGCATGATATTTGTTTTCGAAAAATGTGTGTCGAACCGCGACACTGCCTGCAAGCAAAATTTTTTTTTTTTTAACCACCATTTTTGATTGCAAGCCCAGTCCGGGCTCCGAAGCTCCAAGTTTGAGACGTCGAAATAAGGGCAAATATATTTTTTACGGGGGACGCCAAACTTTTTTAAAAATATCTTCACGTCTTCAGGAAGTGGCGTCACGGACGTCAAAACAATATTCAATATTATTTTGAAAGTGGTCGTCGAAATATAGTTACTACCTTCGAATATTAATTCCTGTAAACCAACTTGTCTCCTCCAAGACGCTAAAGCGTACAGTAGAAGACACACGCCAAACCTCCAACTTTGTTTTTCGTGTAGCATTTCTGCTTTCTATAGCACTGGTGACATACGCAAGTTTGACAGGTTTGCAAAAACGGAGCGACCGTAAAGCGCGAAACACATGTACGACGAAACCGTCCGATCCGACGTCCGACCGTGCAATACGACGGTCGGAGGCGAGGGTTTTCAATGCTCTCCGATGCTACGAAAACCCTCTCCCCCCAAGGTCATTCCGGCAGTCCACACGTCGGATCGGAAGGTTTCGTCGTACATGTGTTTCGCGCTTTAGTCGCTTGGGACGCAAGCGGCAGTTCATGTTTGTAAACAACAAAAAGGGCCTATAAGCTGCGTAACCCCGCCTTCAAGCATACTTATATATATGCAGCAAAAATACTTCGCAGTAAACAAAGTCTCTTGCATCATGTACACGCAGGGCGACTGCAGCTTTAGCTTTCAGTGTGTGCGATTACGATCAGCATCTATAGCTCTCATACAATTTTCCACCATCATTGACTTACCAAAAAAAGGTTTAACAAGCGTCGCCATTTTTTTTTCTTTTTTTTTCTGCTTTTGGTGCAGTGTGTTGCGAATCTCCAGTCGGCGTCCGTAAGCGGAGAGATATACAATGACGTGGCGTGCTTCCTCGGGTACCTACTGAGCATACTGGATTTGACTCAATTCACGGTTGAAGAGCAGCTGAACACTGTGAAGCTTCAGCTCCTAGCCTCAGGCACCTGTGAGTACCCTTCGCATGTATAGAGCACCCCGTTTTAGCAGTAGACAACAATTGCACCAACTGACTGAGTTTTTTCTTATAAGGTTAAATCTTTTTCGTTTATGCGTGACTGGTTCCGGGCGTCTCATTGCGGCCCCGCCCTTACGCTCCGCTTTACTTTAAAGGGGTACTAGAACACTTTCTGCGATATAGTCTATTTATGGCCATAAACTCAATCTGTGGGCTCTAAGCGGCATAAAAGAACCAAACGTTACATAGATGCGTGAAAATAATCCTGTAAAACTGGCGGATGAGCACTTCTTATGCAAACAATGTGTAAATATACCTATTTCGTGTGTTTTTCAAATGTTACGCAATTGAGGGGTGTGCGTTTATTACGGAATGGGCGTAAACTCGTTCTTTTACGACGGTCGTATTCCGAGCTTCCTCATTCGCTGGGATCCTTCCATTGCTCGTCCTGATTGCTGTCTTAGTGTCGTACGAAAAATTAAACACAAAAACTTTTTTTTTGAGGGGGGGGGGGGGGGGGGAGTGAGTTGTCTTGTACAAATTCAAACCCCCCTTATTTTTTTTCTTTACAGGCACGCTAAGACAAAGACCGGCAAGCAGAGCCAGGGCACGAAACGCCGCACGCTCTTTGTGTGGCACCTTTCCTGTCTCCTGTACATAAACTCCTCACGTTGTTCGCCGACTTTAACCATGTATAATGCTCTCGGTGAACACAAATTAGGAATGCGGCGCAAAAGACCGAGAACAAAAAAGACGGGCGACCAAAACTTATTTACCCAAGATGTTCCGTGCGAATAACGCGAGTGTTTAATCGGACGAGAAACTTTTATTCATCTGCCCGAATCGGGTTGCAGAAGATTATATTGTCATCGACAGATTCAAAAATGAAGCACGCGGAATATTATATGCTCGTGATTCTTGCTTTTCCATTTGCTTTTACAGCGGAACTGTTCAAAGCTAGTTTCCCCAGGATCGTGTCCGCCAGCAAACAAATGATGACACAAAACTCCGGACAGCTACCGCCATCTATGAGCGACAACGCAACCAGACAACCGGCTTGCAGGTTGTCTGGTTGCCGCCGTCGCTTATTCGCGACTCCAGCGACCTATAGGGGGCGTCACCACCAAACAAACATGGCGGCTGAGTCCAGGTCGCGTCGGCTCGGCCGGGCCGCCTGAATGGGTGGCGCATTCAATTTAACAAATTTTCTTTTGTTCAATGCCCAAATTTATGGGTATTTGAATTGAGACAGTTAAGTGTAGCCGGTGCGCATAAACTTGCCGAGCATAGTTTTGTTTTGCCGGTGTTTTTTGTTCCTTTTATGTCAAACTTTAGTTTCGGAGACTTCAATCAAAACCGAAACTATGGGCTCCGGAGAAACGGTAATAGACTCTAATTAGTTTTTATCATCTAAGGAAAGCGGCGAGGGCTACAAAATTGTTCCACCGAGAGTAATTTTTAGCTAACTCGTATGCCTCGACCGTGCGACTTATCTGTCCGCGAAATTGAGCTTTTGTGCCTGTCCGCGTTTCAAGAAACAGCTCCAGTCGTGTGCTCGGTCAAGAACACAGGCTGCAGCAAAATTACGAAAATTAAGCAAGCGCTTCTTGAGCCAAGGAGCATGTCACCTCGCTGGCGCTTCACTAAGCAGCTGATACTCGTATTTCAATTCAGGTTTTAGTAGCAATCGAGAAGTAATTTTGACGAATATGAGGATGATGTATTATATTACGTACTATGGGGGTCCCACTAAAGCGATATTAGTATATTCTTCGGGTTGAAATATGAACTTAGTTGACTAACTATTAGGTGAACTGCTGAATAAAAGTATATTTGACCGACAGAGATACTACTTAAACTTAGCCAAATGGTTCTAGCCGGTAGAACGGAGACGAATGCGGACAAACTGAGGAGAGTCTTCATCGGAGATTCATTCAGACCTCTCTGCATCGCACTTGACTTCGAATCCTGAACGGATAAAATTAGTATTTTTTGTGGCCGGTCAACCTGAGCATGTAGACGTATATTGCTGCTGGCTTCGACAGGGGTTATAATATAAATATTGGAGGGCGCGATAGATCCTAATGACGAGACAGCTTCAAAGTTTGCGAGACGCGTACCCCACCTTTTGAAAGCAGATAATTTCCCTCATTAATCATATGCAGCCGGCAGGTTTTCTGAATCAAGTAATTGCGAAATTAGCCCAACTCCCTCAATGTGGTCTTTATCGTCGAAAAGCCGCCAAGATGAATAGCCAACGCACCGGCCGGCGTTAGTGGCTCAAATTAACTTGAAGCTAATCGAGCACAACCAAACTCAAGGAAAGCAGCTATCGAACCTTCCCATTCACTTGACTACAACATTGGTGCTCCCCCCAGTGAAACACTTCGTCTGTCGACCTCAGTCCGCTGTTCTACATCCTTACAAAGAAACCACTTATCAGTTATCAAGCAGTCGTCACTTTGAATGTGATTAGAGACAGACGAGAAATCAAAAGTCTTTCCGTGATTCCTCCTCATCCAAAAAATTGAAAGCACGCGACCCTGTGTTGTGGAGTAAACGGGCTTTCAAACACCTGATGGAAAGAAACTATCTACTGAGGCTTCACCACACTAATAAACACTCAGGCAAACTTAAGAAATTTCCGGACCCTCGTCAAATTACATTGCTCAATCCCGCGCCGACAGCACGTGTCCGCGAAAGCCATCAGAGACGCGGCGGGGCGCGGAGCGACCTGGACCGACTGGTTCCCGGTTTTCCCGCTTGGCGGCGTCCGTTTTGCTGGAGTCGCGAATAGATGGCGGCAACCTTCCCACCCTTTCCACTCTGGCTTGCCGACTTGCGGCCGGCCATTACTTCATTCCCACCATGGTACAGCTTCGCTGGTCTTCGATCCTTCTTCACCAGAGCGGAAAGGCTGAAAGATTTTGGCGTTATCATCGGCTAACGCTGCAAGCTCAGTGACTATAGAGCGATAATAAAACACACGAAGCTCACCACGCTCTATTTTTTTTTTTTAAGTTGTCGTTGGCTATAAACTTTTTTATTATTTGCACGTTGTGTTCCTCGTAATCAAGAAGTGTCCCATGCAGCAGAGATTCGACCAATCATTGTCCGATAGCTGGCATTAGTCCTTTGGCCAGTGGTCAGACAGTGGCCAGGTTTTAGCCGATGACTGGCCCTTTTCTGGCCATTGGCCATCAGCCATCAGCCAAGCGTTAGCCGATGAATGGCCATTCTTTGTACATTGGCCAAAAGACCATCGCCAGCCATTGGCCAATGCATGGTCGAATTCCGTGCTTCTTGGGGTTGCGTTTGCCTTTGTTTGCATGCTGTTAAACAAGGATGAAATGAATAGGGTACTGAAATAAAGAGAATGGTTTTGTGAACAGTCGTTTCTTGGACGTGCTTCGTGTACTTATTTTTTAATGTGCGATCGAGTCGGATAGGAAGGATTCACTTCCTTCAAAGTCGAAGGTTGGGCAATCCGAGATTGGTCAAACCAAATGTCTAAAACCTTCTAATTAATAGGAGGTATTTTTTTTTTACATTCAATGAACATATTCGGGTATGTGCAACTACGTAGCTTCCAGGAGATTTCAGAGAAATTTGCGATGCGACACACGCAGTTTGCGCGTTCACAACATCGGCTCTTTTTGCGCCTCCTGTAAACTTAAAAATAATGCAAATAAAAAAAAAGAAGACGCTTATACTTGTGCTATGAACTGACAATGTTTATGATGACAGCCTCTCGACTCTCAAACAGGCTCAAAAGAAAATGGGAGTTCGCTTGTTGGCGTTGTCAATGCCACGCTCCGCACATGTTAAGGACCGTTCACAAACTTCCGCTTTAACTCTGTGACGTCACGGCGCGGTGATGGCGCATCGATCGCACTTCCGGTCTGGGGCTGTGGGCAGAAGTCCCCATGCCAGACGTGTATTCCTGCGTTGTTTTGAAAGGAACCAGACAAAAACCTGCCTTTTCGTCAAAACGCCGTGACAAGGGCCGTACCAAAAGTGTCGAGAAAGATTTGAAGGTCAGTTTTCACGTGCTGGGTTGGTCGGAGAATCTAGATATGTGCCGTGAAAAAGGAACAGCAGACGCCGTCGGACAACGATTGCTTGGGCGGGAAACACCATGGGTTGAATTCACGGATACTTGTGGTCATCAGACTTATTTGCTTTGTTTCAACATGAACGCCAGAAAACCGTCAAGTTGTGCGGACCACCTGTGGACTACGTTCAGTGCGTCTTCAAGTTCAAACGGCCGCCTGATCGTTCGAACTGTCGTCTGCTCTTCCAAACGTTTCTGCTTGTCGTCTGCTCTCTTAGACGACGCCGGCTCTTAGACGACGCCGGCCCGTGGACCAAATGTTGGTCCTGTACTTGCGATAAGAAGTAAGTGCAGGCCTCAAAAAACTTACATTTGAAAGTTGCAGGCTCGATGTAAACAGTAGATACAAGGAGATGTTGATCTTTGTTACCAGTGACCATCACCGCGGTGATGGTCACCAAGTAAATTAGGGATAACAAGTCGCGACTTGTTATCCCTAATTTACTTGGTCCCATTCGCTTGCGATTTTCAGTATCGACGTCGACCATCTCAGCTACGGTTCAGGCTTTTGCAGCCCAAGCGGCGTCGCGACTGAAAATTGCGAGCGAAATCGCATCATGCGAATCAGGCTTTAGCGTACATACTGCGGCGTCCACGCGGAATGAATCGCCACATGTCACATTATTCACACGAAGTTTTGTGGTGTAACGAGCCTCGGTAATTTCGCTGACGCCGCTCAAGTAGTCAGATATCGCCAGGAAGACGTAGAATCAACAATTCGAACGCGAAAAAGGGCAGGGGGACTCATACCGACGCCGACAACAACGCATTCCAATGGTTTGTTTACGGGCGACGGCGAGCTTCTTACCCACAACCCATCGCGCATGCGCGGCGCCGGTGGCGTCCGCTAGGGGCGCTCAGGTTTGTTTGTAAACATGAGTTGGCGACTTCTTGTGATCTCACACGAGAAAACACGGACACGCTGGCGCCAATGGCGCTTATGATTAAGTGCATTTTTCTGACGCTTACTTGATACTGTTTATGTTGCTAACGACTTCACAGCTGTTTTGTTTCGCTGAAGTGCTCAAAAACGGCACATGGTCTACATCAATTGTTTATGATTCTCCCATTTGCCCAAATTGTTCACCTCTTTACTTCAACGGAATTCCATCGCAGCTTACCTGTATAGGACGCTACAGGCTGATGATGACATTGCAGCAGGAAACGCTATTTTAGAACCACTCTGAACTTGAGTTTATTTTTAGGCGCGCAGCTTATCGGGTGTGCATGCCTGTCACAGGAAGTGCTAACCGGCGAGCATTCGCGTCGGCACTACTCGTTGGCACTACTACATCGTGACGCACCTACCTACGGATATCCTGCAGCTGGAGCACCACAACTGCAAGTTGAACGCAGACAAACCAACCACCAAAGCTGCACGTGGCGGCTGCCTGTCACTGACACTGTGTTTCATTTAGCGGTAAAGGGAACGACCATGAGGACGCTGCTGATCTCCCTCGTAGCCTGCCTGCTGAGCTTTGATTCTCCATCCTACGCTGCAACTGGTAAGGCATCTATCTAACCAGCACCCCAGAGTTTAGGGGTAGCAATACCAACATAACTTAACTATAAACTTTTTTTGTCCCCTTGCGATCTCATCAACGCGGATTCCGCATCTGGTATGCCGGACAGAATAGTAATAGGATATTTCAACTTGGAATATGAGAGAAAATATAGGTGAGGTAAAACGAGAACATGTGACAATCACGCATGTTTCGTAAACATCTTCCAGCGGCGTGGAGAGATCAAAACGATGTTCTAACGCATACCAGAATTGACGACATTCAAGATGGTAGTGCCCTTGCGGAAAATGTGTGTAGAGGTATACTCGGGTGTGTGCTCGAGCTGTGGGTAAAGTAACTTATCCCCTGCTACGAAAAACAACCGTGACGGTGCGAAGTTAACGCTCTGTGGAA